ATCCAGAATCAATATCCGAGTTCCTCTTCTACTGCCGACACCACTTGAGGTCCACCATAGCCATGGCCGCCTCCTCCTCCCTTCCTCATCATAGGCCGAGGCTGTGGTGGACTGCTAGGCCTTGCCCAGATGCCCAAAGGACAACCCAAAGCAGCTATGGCTGCTTCACTCAGGCCGCCATGCCCAACTCTGCGTTGAAGCTTCTTGGTGTGGCTCTCCCCAGTTGGGGACTCCCTGCTGCAGCGCCCACCAAGGTGATGAATGAAGATGGCTGCCACCATAGCCAGGTAAGTACCCCTGGCGCTCCTCCCCCTTCCTGTCCTTCTTCCTCCTCCGTGTCCTTCTCCTTCCTCCAGCAGCGCTGCTCCTGGATAGCGCTGCTCCAACCGGCGCTCCAACCAGTGTGTCGCCAAACTTGCACACCGAGAAAGAGGCCGGGCTCTTCGCCCGGCTGGGGAGATATAGCGGCCTGCTTGCCTCTTCGGGCGGTGACTTCCAGGCCGCTCGGCCTTCCAAGCAAACCAGTACCTCCTCCCTTTCGGAGGGAAACATCATTGCAGACTCTGATATTGCCCGTACAGGCCCTAGACCCAGACTGGTTGGACTGGTATCCGCCTAGACCTAACCTATGACTACTGGCCCTCTAAAAATGCCACTTTTGTCTTCTTCTGCTCGGCCTCCAGTGCCCGCACATCTACCTCTTCAGGGTGCGGTAACGGCCTACCCGCTACTTGAGTGTTTTTCCTGCTGCAATCCCTCAATGTCACGGCCACAGGTAAGTACCGGCCCAATGAACCAGCAAGTGCCCTTGCGGGCCACACACACACTCAAGCCAACCAGCACTCACACAGGCACGGCCACACACACACTCAAGCCAACCAGCACTCAGACAGACATGCAGTCAAGCAAACGTGCACTCACAGACTTAGTAGCAGGCGGGAAACTCAGCAAGGCCTTCAGTCTATTGGCAAAACTCAGAAATCAGTCGTGTGTTTCAGTCCATGTTTGGACGGGTCATCACACACTAGAAATTGTCTTCTTTCTGTTTTTGTCTTTGTTTTTTTAATGTTTTTTTGCTTGGCTTGTCACTGTAATGAACTGGCCTGAGTGCATGTTCGCACTAGCTCTATCTGAAATGTATCTGACTGCTTTTTTAGCCTTAGCGCGTGCTCACACCAGCTCTATCTGAAACGTATCTCACAGATTCTGTCAGCGTTTGCACCTGGACCTGGATGCATCTGACCACAATTATGTCCATAAACAAGTAAAAGAGTCCTACCGTCTTCACCCGAATAGAACGCCGGGTCATTATCGCTGCATCTGGACTGAAAATTGCCTCAAATACAGCTTTAATGACCGGGCGTTATATTCGGGTGAAGACGGTAGTCTGAGCATGCCCGGAGGCTCGGTTGCATGGGCCGGATGAAACAGCAAATGATATGGAATGCAATTCATTTGATCATGTGGCCGGATGATGCCCATGCACGCGTTAGTATACGGATACAGATCGCGAGTTTGAATCCTCCTGACGAAATCAGATGGATTACAGCAACGTTAGCGGCTTCCCCCCCTGCGTCTTGTTTGAACAAAAAACAAAGCAAGTGGGTTGAGCGGCTCTCAAGAGGAGGAAGGGGTGTGGAGATGTGGTTGTGAACTCTCTAGGAATGGGGAAGAACTCCCGAAGAAAAATGATTGAACACCCAAGCAGTCCGTTCTTCTTTATTGAAACAAGGCTTAAACCACCAGTACTTGGCCCAGCTATCGGCCACGGCGCTTCCCCGTTAACGCGCTGCGGCATTTGGGCTTCGGCCTACCGGACCACATTGGCTGGAGGCCACAGCCGAAATGAAAACGACAAAGACCAACGGCGGTTCGGCAGGACTTGACGCGCAGGGGGCTGGGAGGCTCGGCTTCGATAGCTGGGCCAAGTACTGGTGGTTTAAACCACCAGTACCTCGCTCAGCTATTGAATCCGAGCCTCCCAGCACGCTGCGCGCCAAGTCCTGCCGAACCGCCGTCGCAATTTTCTTCTTCGTTTTGCCTGCGGCCTCCAGCCAATGCGGTCCGGCAGGCCGAAGCCCAAATGGCGCGGCGCATATACGGGAAGCGCCGCCGACCAGTTTCCCCCGTGGACTAAACCACCAGTACCTGGCCCAGCTATCGGCCGCGGCGCTTCCCGTATACTCGCCGCGCCATTTGGGCTTCGGCCTGCCAGACCGCATTGGCTGGAGGCCGCAGGCAAAACGAAAAAGAAAATTGCGATGGCGGTTCGGCAGGACTTGGCGTGCAGCGCGCTGGGAGGCTCGGATTCAATAGCTGAGCGAGGTACTGGTGGTTTAATAAGCAAAAGGTGAAGGGGCATCAGTATTCTTTGCGGGCAACTTTGCAAAACTGAAGTTACTTTTCTCTCAAAAATTGAAAAGAATTGCGAGGATTGAGCCGCGCAGAATTCAGAAACGCCACTACGGCCCTTACGTGAAGGTGGGACTCCTAAATTGAGG